TCCCTAAATTTTATAATGGGGAAAGCCGAAGTTCAGAGAAATGAGATGACTTCTCTGTATACACATGGTTCATGGCACCACGGGGACAGAAAGAGGACACTTATGAACGATGTGGACAACTGTTAGTAATTACAGTCACTCGCAGTGGCAGCTGAAGCTGACCGTGTAACCAGGCTCCGAGAAGCAGCTACGGGCCCCCGGTGCTCTGATGCACAAGGCCTTCGACTCGAGGCTCAAGGCCGTACGAGGTGAGCTGGTCAAGGCCATGGAATGGGGTGGAGGGAGTTGAGAACACCAGAGGAGGGCCGGGGAATAGAATTGCACGGTGTTTACGTGAGCTTCCTCCCCAGGGAAAACAAGTCCATGGTGGCCTGAGCAAGGACGCTTTAATGAGAAGCCCTTCTGTACAGGGAAGGTTATAGGACACCACGCCCAACCCAAGCAGTTGGACTTGGTCTGAAAATGACCGCAGCACCGGTAGGCTGTGAGCTAGCGGCCGCGGCTCACAGTCCAGCCCTGAGATTAGGACTCGCCTTTAGTCCCAGCAGCTGGGCTGAGCTGGAGCAGAGACTGCTGGAGTCACAGGACGTGCTCCCCGAGGTGCGTTCAGTTACAGGCTTGCCGATACTCAGGCCAGGGTCCCTGACACTGGAGCGTCCATAGGGGATGGCCTGTCAAAGTTTGGCTATCAGGATCCAGCTCATTGTGGCTTTTTCTACAGAAGGCAGATTAAGACAGGCTGTCACTCCCTCTCCCCTGGGCATACCGAGGCCTGGCTAAATCGTTCTAGTCCCCCTAGCCGAGGGAAGCAGTCAGGGCCCCTAACTCAGCCTCTCTGGCATTAGGTCCGCCCCTCTGCAGACAGGCTGGGACAGTGGGCGAGACTAAACTGGAGATTCCCAGTGCTTGACACAGAAAGTAGGAGGTGTTGGGACCAGCAGTTAGTGTAATGGCTATGTCGCTGGACTCCCATGTAGTCAACCGCGGTTCGCATCCCGGACCTGGTGGCTTAAAACTCACTCCGGGTGCATATGCGTGCGTTCCCAAGATCCCAAGAGGAGAATGGAGGAAAAGGGATTGCAGAGTGGCCATCCCCCCTGGGGGGTGATTTCTCGCTTTCTATCTGTCTCTCTGTCTGGCGAGAGGATGCACCCTATAGCAAAAAACCTCTGCAGAAAAAAGAAAAGAAAAGAAAGTAGGAAGTGTTCTCCGTACACAGGATGACCTCGTTCAGTTGTCACCCATAACTGTCGTTAGGCCCGTTAGACAGATCAGGACCGGAGACTGTCAAGCGTAAGCGAGCCTGGCTAAGCGGCTAAGCGTGAAGGACTGGCCACAGGAGGTCGGGTCCCCCACATTTGGGGCCTTACTGTCTGCAGTCAGGATCGCCTGGTCACGCCCTCCCCTAGGCCCTAAAGGCTTCAGCTCCCTTCCGCAGTGACCTGGGCAGCGAGCTGGCGCCGTCCCTCGCCCGGCTGCGTCCTGGCGGCTGCGGAGACCCGCGCCTTGCGCAGCGGCGGCGCTGCGTTCGGTCTTTGTTTGGAATACTGGAGCAGAGGGAGGCGACACTGATACAGCGCTTTTAAACAAACGGTTTCCTAGTATGTGTCTGTTTCATGCCCGCGTGGAACTTCCGTAGGCAGAGCCGGCTGCGCCGCCAGCCCTCGTGTGGCCGCCCCCGCCTCCCCCCCCCCCGCGCCCGCGGGGAGCGCCCAGCCGAGCCCAGTCAGCAGCCGGGCCACGGGAGCAAGCGGAGACGGTTCCATTCATAAAACGCACACCCGGCTCCCCCGCGTCCGCCCACCGCGGGTAGCGCGGGGACTCGGGCTCGGTTCCAGGCCCCAGCGCGAAGCGAGGCGCGTCCCCGCGTGCCGCCTGGAAGCTCCTAGACGCACGCGGCCGCGCGTCCTCGCTGGGTCTGCCAGACCGCGGACCTCACCCGGAAACGCTGAGACAAAATGGCTTGCGGCTCGGTTCATAAACAGACCCTCGTCCCTTGACTTCAGGCTGTCCGACATTTTGCGACCTGCATGTTTTGCTTTGCCAATTATTTAAGAAGAGACTGTCAAACCACGCCGCCTAGCCATATCTGAACGACTGGCCTCCCGGGGCC